GGGAATACCAAAACTAGAACAATTCAAGAGATTCCACATGTGAAGCCAATCTTGTTTTATAATGTGCAAGTTAAGTAGTATGGATTATGTTGAACTTGTGATAAGCATAATAACATAGTCGCTCCGTAAAAAAAAAGACCATTTAGATCACTATACAGAGAGAGTACAAGACAAAATGATCTTTCGATGTTGCTCTTGGTGCAAGAGTTGTTGTTCAAACCAATCTAATTAACTTGTGGGACACTATTGTTTTTCTGATAGATACAAAAATGAAAAGTTAACACTTCAATTGATCAATTTTTTATTTTCTGAAATGACAAATTGTTTTAATGAGAACATCATTTCCATGATATAAAGATTATAGTGGTTATCATAAAAATGTCAGAATAGATATCGGTAGACAATCCCGAAAAAAGTAAGGGTGATATCGTACCCTAGCCGCCGGCTCGGTAACCCTCCTCTATCTTATCCCGTTGCCTCTTTGGCGAAGGGAGCAGTGGGACCTACTCCTTTTGTTGTTCTTTATTCTTGTAGGTTTTTGTTCCCCTTAATTTTTAGTTCTTTGGCTGCATTGGCGAGGAGGTGGCGGCGATGACGCATTGGGGGTAAAGTCTCCGCGGCCTCTCCCTACCTCTACGACATCTGATCCAACGTGGATGAAGGGCCTATGAGGATAGGCATTACCAAATCTGTTGGCTCTCTTCATGTCTTGCTAGTTCGTGTGTCATGCAAGGAAGCAGTTGGGTGGGTCGTGCGGCGGCTTCGACCTCTAGTTTTCAATTTGTTTTGTGGCAAGTTTGTCCAGCCCTGCTTTGGACCGGGCTGAAGAATTGCAAGCCTGTGCTACGCCGTGTGATGCCCCAACCGATGTTCCTTCAACCGTCACTATATCTCATTTCTAGTGGCAAGTGACTATTACGGTCTTCAGAGCCTGGTATGGCAATGACATTTGTAGGTGTCTGTTTCTCTTACTGCTAGTTTGGTGTAATGTTCGAGCTCCCATGTGCGGCTTACAATCGAAGAAAGAAGACTGCCAATATGGTTTGTGATGTAATTCAAATTTGTGTTGGTTTTTTTGTGCATTGTTGTCCTTATATATTGTATTGTCTACCTTTTTCCATATAATTTATAGATATTTTATTAGTTAATGTTTTACTTGATAATTTTCAGATACAGGACGCTCGTTGGTGTATTTCCTCAAAATAAAATAAGATGTCAATAGACATAGAATGAGGTCACAAGTTCGTGGTTAAAAAAAAGGTTGAGGCCACACATCCTGCTGTAGTGACACTTGTATCCTGTTGTACCGACACTTGTAAGTGCTTCTTGTGCACTCTTTAGCGAATGAGACAATTGATTCAATTTTTTATTCCCAAGTTTTACACCCAGTTGGTGACGGACCTCATGCCAACCTGAAAGCACTTCTCTCTCTCTCTCTAAAAAGCTGAAATTCTTTCGAGGAAATTTGTGCGGCAAATTTGCAGTGCAGAAACATTCTCATGTACAGAACTTCCAACCACATATCTATCAAGAGTAGAAGTATGAGCAACAAATTGTAAAGGAATATCCACAAAGTGACTTTGCACCTCCTTTGCTCAATGTTTTTCCATCAGTTGTTTTGCTGATATACTGTTTTATAGTACCTTAAGAAAAGTCTGATAGACCCCACACACAAAAAAAATCTGATAGGATAATGTTTGCTTTTCACAGTCACAGATCAGTCGGCACGTAGACAAGTATGAAAGCGAAAGGAATGTGTAGCTCCAAGAAACCTTGCCTAACCTCTGTACAGTTGCTACCCAAAACTGCAGTCTGCAGATCACCACATGTGAGGCCTCAAGGGTCGTTCCATATGCAAGAAAAAGATGAAGATATTGCTCGTGTTGGCAAATTATCATCACATCATTCAGTTCAGCGATTCCGACAATACGGACTGCAGATTAGAAACATTTTCCACCAAATAACTATTTACATTCCCATTGGCTTGTAATCTAAAGTCACATTTCTACTTCTCAATGCTAGGCGTCTTGTACCCCAAAGGCCTTACGAATTTCAGCGATGACGCGGCCGGACACGTCGGGGCCAAACATCCTCGGCAAATTTGCGGTCAGGTCGACCTCGATCGACTTTGATCTCACAGTTCGGTCCCTCTTGACCATGATCTCCCTCTCGCCCTCTTCCATTTCCGAGGTGCCAACGGCGCAAGTATCAAGCCAAATCTGAAGAACCGCCTTCACAACTGACGCAAGATGACCCTGCACTATCTCCTCCAAGACACTCTCCCCTCCTTGCCCACAGTCAATGGTGAAGAACACCGCCGTCGGAGAGAACGCGCTGCGCACGAAGAGGGACGGCGAAAGGTACGGGCGGGCTTGCGGCAATTCTTCGATGATTTTGCGTTGCTTGTCCACCTCAGTATTTTCATAGTACTTCTCGATGTACTCCGGGTGGAGCGCGAGGTCTTTCCGTGGCAGCAGGTCCAGAAGCACGACCATTGAAGTTGGGCTGCCCTGTATGAACTCCATGACGAAATGCGGCGCGTCCGTCGAGGCGTTCAGGTTGATGAAGAGAGACGTGATGTCGATCGCGCCATTTGGGACTTTGCAGTGAAGCGACGACTGCAGCATGAAATCGATCTGTAGACAAGAAAGAACACTTGAATTGTAACTGTTGTTCCTTGCTGCTGTTATATGATCACAAGGAGCAAACAAAATAAGCAAAATAACTTCAATTTCTACTCTCTGTTCGATTGGTGTGTTGTCATCAGAGAGCAAATTCCTACGAATTCTAGTCGAGCCGTGGTGAATTTCTATTCTGTGAGTGAGATCTACGTAGCTAAGAACAGCTGCTACGAGTTGCTCGCGAGAGAAAAATGGGCGCCAAGTAAGTAAATCACGCGATCGCGGGGACGAGGGGAAGTACCGAGGAGCCGGGCGCGCCGTGGCGCACGTCCAGGGAGACGAGGGCGGTCCCGTCGCCGTTGCGGAACTCGGCGACGTCGGCGGGCACGGCCGAGGGCAGCAGCCGGGCGCCCAGCCGCGCCTCCGCCTCTCCCGCCACGGCCCGCGCCACCTCCCGGTGCGCCACGGACGGCATGCCCGCCGGCTCCGCCGGGCCGGCCGACGCGCGCAGGGCGCTCGACGTTTTGCCCCTGAGCGTAGAAGCCGCGCGGGGGAGCCGGAGCGCGCCGCGAGGGAGGCGGGAGACGGCGGGGAGCGCCGCCGTGGAGACGGAGACGGAGGCGCGGGCAGGGGCGGCCGCGGTCGCTGGCGGCGCGCGGAGGCCGTGATCTGGCCGGAGCAGCATGGCAAGCGACCGCGTGGACAGCGACGAGGCGTGGAATGGGAGTAGTAAGCAGAGGTGTGCGGTCTCCAGCCACTGGATGGGCAGAGAACGAAGGTGGGGCAGGGTTAATGCCAACGAGTCACCGCGTGTCCGTGGCGTGGAGTAGGCGGGTAACCGTGCCGTGCTATCAGGATAACGTTTCCTCGTTGCCGGGGGGAAGCTCTCTCGTGTCCTCCTCTGCTCTTCCTCGACGAGAGTGAGGCCGGCCACCGGCGACAGGGCGGCCATGGCGGCGGCGCTTCTCTCCCCGGCCTCTCCCCTCCCTCGCTCCTCCTCCGCGGCCCATCCCAGGTACTTATCGTTCCATCCACACACATCCTGTGTACATCCCCTTGTTCCACGGCCGACATAGCTCTTGTTCTGCGTGCTGATTCTTGGGAACTCTGTAGGAGCAAGGGCGCGGCTGGTGCAGCAGCAGGGTGCGCTCCGCCGTCCAGGAGGAGGGCCGTCTCGTGCTCGTGCGCGCCCGATTCGTGGAGCCGCGGGCTGGAGAGGAGGCAGCTCGTGCTCTCCGGCCTCGTCTCCTCCTTTGCAATCGCCCTCCCGATTACAGGTGGGGATACTCAGTTCACTCACGATCTCTCCTAAGTTGTAGATTTTCTTGTCCTCGGATTTATTCGTGGACTGTGGATGGCATTGTGAGCGTCTTCACATTGTGATGATGGTTTGTGATACTGTTTTTCCTTTCTGATGTGAAAGTACTTTGGTCATGCTCATCCAGTAGTACAATCGTGCGCTGCTGCCACTGAGGTTGAGCTTGACGACGGCGTGAAGATGGCCATGCTGGTAGATGAGACCAACGCCTACTCTTTTCTCTACCCGGTTCAGCTGCCAGGGAAGAAAACCTCCTTCAGATGGTACTTATTTTACCAGTCCCCTGTCTGACACTTCCTATGAAACATGATTTCTTTACATGCTCTGCTTCCTATGAAACATGTTCTGTTTACATGCTCTGCTTTCCAGGGTGGAGTCCAGGAAATCGGAGCGATATTCCTCTGCGGCGCCACTATCTCGTGAGTAGACCCCGGTATAGCAATGGGACATTTTTCAGAGTCCTCCTCTGTGGTTTGAAAGGGAGGTGAAGCTGACAAACTCTTTGCAGCTGATGCAAGGCAACGCATCGTATCGGAGCGCCTTGACATGATCAACAATGCTGTCATCTCAGTCTCGGTAATTACTAAAATACTATCTGGTACTAATAGATGCCCAAATTTGTAATGTGCTTGGTTTTTTGCTCTGTGCTTGGTTGTGGTAATGCAATGGGATTCTGTTAGCAATTTGGTTTTAATATATTGTTATTGGTGGTTTAGTGCAAGATGCTGTTTGAACAGATTTTGTAGATGTTTTTGTGCCGGTTGAGCTCCAAAAAGTACAATACATTGAGCAATAATGCAGCACAATGATGCTCATCCGTTTTCTGGTGCAGATCGGGCCGCCAAGCTCACGCTTTCTACCTTCGAAAGACAAGACCACTTGGGCTGCAAAGAATGTCGCTGATTGCGTTTTGTCTGACAAGTCTTCATTGGTAATTATTCTTGTTTTTATGTAAATGAAAATGGTCTCTTTCTTTTTGTATAGAGCAATCACATACCATATTTATTTCAGAAGATTTTTTTTCTAGCTTAACTTATCGTCCTTTTCACATATTGGTATAGCTATAAATAGCAAAGTTCAACCAAAAGGATGGCCAGTTTAGATACTTACACATACACCTATGGTCAAATGTTTATTTTGTGACACACTACATCCCTCCCTTTGCAGAAGGTAACAACAACCCAGCGAATGGCAGAGAGTTCTGTCCTTGATGCACACACTGCAGATGTAAGCTCTGGCCACTTTTGTCGGTGACCTCATGATGATTGTAGTCATCCTTTATCTTCTGGAGTTGACATGCATCTGGCACATACTAAATTTTTTGTTAGGTTGATGGAGAGCCATACTGGTACTATGAATACATTGTTCGCAAATCACCAACAAAATCGGTAAGCTTTTCGTCACCTATATTTATTTATTTTGAGGAATTTGCCACCTATATATTTCATAAAAAAAACATACATCTACAAAAATAAGGGACAAAATTTTGCGTCATAATACTTTCTGAAGCATTGTGTTAACTGCTTGATGGTGAGTTGGTGGTGAGATTGTGCAAGAACATAAGGTAACCTGTTATCTTTGTTGTCTCAGGCACCAGAACCTAATCTGTTTCGGCACAATGTAGCATGTACTGCTGAGCGAGACGGTATTGTTTTATCTTTGCTTTCTTTAGTCCCTTATATTTACAGGATGGCTTGTTCACTCCCGTTTTTGCACTAGGTTTTCTCTACTCGTTAAATGCCTCCACTCTCAGCAAGCAGTGGGAATCTGTAAGTTCTACACTGTTTCTGATAGTTTCTATTTATGTTATTACAAAAAAATAGTATGCGTGGGTTCCTTTTATTATTTTCATTAAACAGAAACACCTATTTTTATTTGAACATATCTTATGTAATTTCATCTTCTTGCCAACGATTAAGCCTCTCTTTAAACGCAGATGGGACCATTGCTACAGAAAGCTGTGGCATCCTTTCACCTCCTCCCCCCAACAGAGAAATATGTGCCTCCTTACCAGGATCCATGGAGGTTTTGGTGATGTGACCGTTCTTCATGCATTGTTGGCGATCCAACGACTTCAAGTTTTGGCCACGTTTCTTGTAATAGATGCTTCAGTATCACCTTCAGGTCTACGGAACGAATTCTAGATGCTTTAGCTTTTGCCAATCTACTACAAATTGGTTGTTCTTAGTAAATTAAATGGCAAACGTACCCGACGGCAAAGAATGCAACCACCGCCATTTCTGCCGAAAACCCTTACTACTTTATTCCACTGAGAAAAAATGCATCGCGTGACAGCCAATATGTAGTGCAGTTTAACGCAGACGTGGTGAAAATAGTCATTGCAATTTAATCGCATAATTAGTTGATTACATATCATCTTATGATCGCGTGTTAGGATCTTACTAGTCAGCATTAAGTTTCTTCTCAGTGTAACAATTTACATTTTGACAGCTTCAATTCTTTTAGCTGTTTGCATGTCTCCTCTCGTTTATAAAACTGTATTTGAATAATTACATGATTAAATTGATCGGGTCTCTTTATCCCGCCTGCCTGGAATTCGATGGAACTTGGGCTAGGAATTCAAAATTGGTAGAGGATCCGCCCAACCACCCACCCCTCTATCCACATACACACGCAACTCAGCCTCCGCCTTAGTTGTTCAAATCCTAGCCAACGAGAAGAAGAAGACGATGACGACTATTTAAACGTTACAACCAATCAATGGGCCCAATTTGGGCTTGCAAGCCACTGGGAAGTCTTTTGGGCTGTTGCCCAACAACTGTACTTGAATTGCTGTTGTCGACAACGTCATCTTCAGGTGCAGTGCTCTGAACTGCATCTTCAGTGTTGCTTCCTTCAGGTTCGCTGGCATCCCCCATCCGTTGAGAAATGGCTTGACCCCAAGCTGTGGCACGAGAAACTGTTGTTTGAGTGAGTCTAGATCTTCCCAGGTAGCTTCATCAAGCGATGAATCACTCCATTGAATCAACCCTTGGGTGATCATGCGTCTACCTTTCTGGTGCTCAGGCACCTATAGAGAAGTATTAATTAGGAGAAGGAATCATACTGCGAGCAGGACAATCAGGATGGACAACCCTGTTTAGCTGTGAGACATAAAAAACAGGATGGATTTTGCTGCCAGGAGGTAATTCCAATTTGTATGCAACTCCTCCAATTTTGTCAAGGATCTTGTAGGGACCAAAGTACTTGAAGGCCAATTTGTGGTTAGCCCTGTGCACAACAGAGGATTGTACATGCAGTTGTAGTTTCAAGAAGACTTACTCTCCTACAGCAAAAGCTCTTTCAGTTCTGTTTTTGTCAGCCATCTGCTTCATCCTTTGCTGAACTCTAAGTAAAAGTTGTCTGACAGAATCTACTATGACCTGCCTGCCATGCAACCACTGTTGGATATGTACAGGAGCAACAGTATCAGAAGAAGTGATACCGAAATACCTGGGAGGGTGCCCATATAAGACCTCATATGGTGATTTGCCCACTGCTGAATGCCAGTTTGTATTGTACCAAAACTCACACATTGACAACCATTTGCTCCTTTTGGGTGGATGAGAGTTGATGAAACTTCTCAAGTAGCACTCCACTTGCTGGTTAACTCTCTTAGCCTGACCATCAATGGCAGGATGATAAGCAGAACTCATGTTTAACTGAGTGCCAGTTCTATGAATTAAAGTTTGACAGAAGGTGCTAGTGAATATAGGGTCCCTATCTGACACAATGTATTCAGGCATCCCATGCAGTTTATAAACATTGTCTAGAAAAACTTTAGCTACCATCTATGCAGAAAAAGGATGTTTCAAAGCCATGAAGTGGCCATACTTTGTAAATTTGTCAATGACCAACAATGCAATCAAATTGGCAGAACACTGGTAAACCAGTAATGAAATCCACAGTGACAGTTTCTCATGCTTTACTAGGGACTGGCAAGGGAGAGAGAAGACCTGGGTATTTTACTCTTTCTGGTTTAGCTTGTTGGCAAGTAACACATGATTGCACCTTGTTCTTGATAAAACCCTTCATGCCAGACCACCTTAACAGAGAATGGATCATGTTATAAGTAACGGGAAATCCAAAGTGGCCACCAACATGACTGTCATGGAAGGCAGAAAAGATTTTATCCTACAACTCCTTATTATTATGAATCAAAATATAGTTCTTGTATCTAATCAAGCCTTGAAGCACTGATAATGAGGTTTAACAGATGGATTGACTCACAATTGCTGCAATATTTCAGTGGCCTTGTCATCTTGAGAATAACTGGCCACAATTTCTTCCATCCACACAGGTTGTGCTCTGACAGAGCAGCTGCAGCAGAATTATCAACCCCCTTTTTATGATAATTTAGACCCATTAGTTTTGTAAAATCTTTTTGTTGCCAAACTGTATGTAACTTTTGATTCTGCAAATGCACTAAGCTCTTCTGGCCAGTTCTAATAGTAAACTGCTAGATTGAAAGTAGGACCTCCACTGTTCAACTCCTAACAAGATGGCCATATATTCTTTTTCATAAACTGATAATGCTATGTTCTTAGGGCCCAAGGACTTACTGACATAAGCTAATGGATGACCATCATGCATTAAAACATCTCCAATGCCCACTTCACAAGCATTAGTCTCTACGAGAAAAGGTTTGTCAAATTGAGGCAAGGCTAGCATTGGGGCTTCCACAAGTGCTTGTTTCAAGGTGTTAAATATTGTTTCAGTCACTATGGTCCAAAGAAATGAATTTCCTTTTTTGAGTAGCTATGACAAGGGCTTGTTGATGATACCATAGTGCTTAATGAACATCCTGTAGTACCCAGTAAGACCAAGAAATCCTGTCACCTCCTTAACATTAGTAGGAGTGGGCTATTTTGCCACTGCTTGCACCTTACTAGGGTCAGTAGCCACACCTTCAACTCTGATAGTATGCCCCAGATAAGAAATTTGTTGTTGGGCAAAAGCACATGTAGATAATTCGATTTTCCATTGGTATGCTTGGAGTAAAGATAACACCAGCTTAATATGCAACAAATGTTCTGCACAAGTTTTGCCAAAGACTAAGATATCATCGAAAAACACCAAGGTTGTTTTCCTGTTAACTAGTGACAAGGTAGTGTTCAAAACTCCTTGGAATGTACCAGGATCCCCACTAACTCCAAAAGCCATCAATTTGAACTCATACTATCCAATGTAAGTTTGAAATGTTGTCTTGTAGTCCTCCCTTGGAGCTAATATTATCTGTTGATAACCTGCCTTAAGGTCTAACTTGGTAAACCAGGATGCTCCTGAGAGCTCATCAATAACTGGCAAGGGAAATTTTCTTTTGATAGTTATAGCATTTAGCATCATGTAATCAATCTCTAATCCCCATTCCCCTCCCTTTTTTGACTAACATAACTTGAGAAGAAAATGGACTTCTACTAACTCTGATCATTCTAGACTACAATAATTCCTCAATCTGTTTCTCTAATTCATCCTTTAGATGTGGCACAATCCTGTAAGGTCTCATAGCAATAGGTCTTTCCCCTGGTGTTAATGGAATTTTGTGATCACAGTGTCTTCTTGGAGGTAGTTCCTTTGGAGTGCCAAATACATTAGCAAGTTCTTCAATGATCTGTTGCATTTCAAGAGGAGCTAGAGTCTGTTACTCAACCTGTATAGCACACACAGAACACAAAAACGGTCCTTTGATTGGTCCAAGAGACCCTTGTGTGTGGCTTCATGTCACCTTCACTGAGTTGTTGTAGTACTCCACAATTCTCCCCAAAAAATGGTCCTTTGATTGGTTCATTCCAACCGTTGCATCCATGGAGATGTTCATGCAAGCATAGCATAAAGCAACATCTTCAACTTGGTTGTAGTCGCAAGTTCTAATCCTTGGTTGCTTCATGCTTGATTGGGTCCGGTCTCCATTGGATCATCAAACTCATCTTTGACCACCCCCTCAAGTTCATCCTCTTCGGCTACTTGATGATCCCACACCGAATCATAATTGTGATCATCAAGCCCAAGCGTACGAGAGGACTCAAAAGACGCCAAGAATTCGGCTATGTTCATCTCCACACTACGACAACAACAACAACAAACTCCATCATCCATTGGCCACCAACAATCACCGCAAAATGCATCGGCCAAAATATTTTTTTTTTACCTAGTAGGCATATTTTGGTAGGCATTTCATCAAGCACTTGGCGATCGTGGCCCTTGTTGCCGGCTACTGCGGCCAGACACGCCGGAGCACTGGCCGTAGGGATGGTCGGAGATGAGGGGTCGGAGTGGCTTTTTTCTTATTCTTCTTCACCGCCTCCTTGGCGACAGGGGACAACGGGGCGACCATCGGTTTCGTTCGCTTGCCGTCGCCGGGAGCAGCGGGAGGGTGGCCTATCGTCGCCGAAAAGGTAGTGGCCACCCCGGAGGTGGCAGCCGGTGTACTGAACGAGACAAGATTTTTGATCCCCAACCTTTTTTTGTCGCGAGCGATTGCGGGGGTGTGGTTTGCGGCGGTGACGGCTGATGGGGTGGCGGAAGGGTCTTGGCTCCCCATTCCGGTCGGTGCAGTGGTCATCGGTGGCGATGGCGGTGCGTGAGGAGGCGGCGGCAGGAATGGCGACGCAGTGCGGGGCTGAGTGTTTTTAGGCGCCCCGAAGAGAAATCCGGCCGAGGAGTAAAAATGTTACTCATCTAGGATTTAGGACTTTAGGTCCGATTTAGAGGAGTAAACTTCAAAATTTTACTCTTCTATAGCCTTTAAGGGTATCGGCTAGAGATGCTCTGACACATATCCCATGCCAAATGACACATCTCAGATTTGCAGAGCATATGTGATCGGGAGCCATTTGGCTCTATGGAGATTGATTTTTCTTTTATGATTAAAAGATGCAAAATGCTTGAAATAAAAGGGCATCTTGCAAAGAATGCTGGAGTGGGCCCACTCCAGCATTTATTTATATATTAAATAAATGCTGGAGTGGGCCCTGTTAGAAAGTGGCGAATACGGATTTTTTTTGCTCATAGTCAGCTGCAGCTACACTACGAAGAACCTGTCGCCGTCAGAATCAAATGGCAAACAGTAGCCAATTAATAATACATCTACTTTGCAAAATAGAACAATCATACACTCTTGACTGTTGAGTCTTGAGCCGTCCAGCGGTCACGGTCGCCTGTTGGGGGCAGCCCGTTCCGTGTCCGGGCCGTAAAAGCGACACAGCAGGTATGGCGCCATCGTTTCACGCAACACGAAACAGCCACTGAAACCCGGAAAAGCATGTGCCAAACCTGCACGCCAGTCCGTCACCTGTGCTGTCGAAATCTAATGATCCCCTTTCTGTTTTTAACACGAGGGAACGTGATTCTGTGAGCGCTTTCTTCAGAATTCCCCTCTCTACTTTCCTCTCTCTTTGGCTCGTGGAAAGAAGAAGACCCAACCCGATCATTCTCCCACTTTCTCCAAGAAAAGGAAGAAAGGGAGTCTTAAGAAAGGACGAGATAGAAGGTGCTCGGGAGAAACCTCTGCTCTGCTCTGCTTCCTCCCCTCCAAAATGGTACGCAGATGAACTGCTGGAAAACTTACTTTTGATTGCCGAACTTTCTCTCGCTGATTAGTTCCTGCTCCTCTTCGCTGCTGCTTTTGATTGATTACCGATGATGTATAGGAAAGAAAGAATTCAGTTACTCCATTGGAGAGTAGTACGTACGCTGAGCTGAGCTGAGCTCTGCTTTTTGTTTGGCATGTAGACGAGCTACTTCAGAGGGCAGCGGCAGGAGGTTTCTGCCGACGCCTCCCGGCCCGGTTATCGGAGGGACAAGGGCGGGCGCAAGCGGCTGACGGCGCAGAAGAGGAAGGAGATCAAGGAGGCCTTCGATCTCTTCGACACCGATGGCTCCGGCACCATTGATGCAAGGGAGCTCAACGTTGCAATGAGGTACGTACTACTGACTACCCTTCTTACTTGATTCCAGCGTCGTCAGAAACCTGTGCCTTTGAATTTTGATTGCGACTCAGCGAGTGAGTCCATCATCTGATTCGTATGACTTGATGTGTTGCAGAGCGCTGGGGTTTGAGATGACGCCGGAGCAGATCCAGCAGATGATCGCGGAGGTGGACAAGGACGGCAGCGGGACCATCGACCTGGACGAGTTCATACACATGATGACGGACAAGATGGGAGAGAGGGACGCCAGGGATGAGCTCCACAAGGCCTTCCGGATCATCGACCAGGACGCCAACGTACGCACGCACGCACTCTGGCTGCTCTCATGGCTCATGACCACAATTCTTCAATCTCTCTGTTGATGCATCCATCCACAGGGGAAGATATCGGACATGGACATCCAGCGGCTGGCCATCGAGGCCGGCGAGCACTTCACGCTCGACGAGGTCAGAGAGATGATCCAGGCCGCCGACGAAAACGGTGCGTGGCTCCGTGCAGACTGCACTGCCCATCTCTCTGAACTTCAGTTTTCCACGTTTCCGCCCGTCTACGTTGCTGACGCTGGCTCGATCGGATCATGCGTGTGCAGGTGACGGCGAGGTCGACATGGAGGAGTTTATGAGGATGATGAAGCGGACGGGCTTCGGCACTGGATTCTAGTAGAACAGAGCAGAGGACAAGCTGAATGAACCGACATAATTCGCGGGTTGTACTTACTTGTACATGTACCTACTCGATCGTGCTGCATACCTACATGTAGTCACGCATGTTCGCACCTGGGATTTCTTTTGCGAGGTGTTTGCGTACATGTACCAAAATTACCTGGCGCCGACAAGTGGTGCTGTTCTGCTGCCAAAAAAAAAATGGGTTTGCTTATCTCATCAGTACTTGGAAATGTAAAGATATCACTATTAGTCTAATACCTTATATTTATCTATAGTAGAGATACTAAGCTGCCATGATTTGAAGCGTTGTGGTGCTTTGAGGGTTGTGGGGTCGCTAAGGGCCCCACATGGAAGGTTATGTGCTACGTATTTCGTTTTATTTCTTATTCTCTTTTTTCACATTCTTATTCATGAGAAATTTTGTGATTATTAAAAATATTTTAAAAAAAATATATTTTGTTCAGATTCATTATTATTTATTAAATTCGTGGATATTTTCAAGTTCACGGTCATTTTGATGTTTGTGAACATTTTTAAATTTGAAACCTTATTTATTTTGTGAATATTTTTTGAAATTCAAGAACTTTTTTTTCTAAAATCAATGATTTTTAAATTTGCAACATTTTTTAAATCCTTGAAAATCTTTTAATTAAACTAACACTTGCAAATAAAAAAAGATAACCAATTATTATAGAGCTGGCAGTAGGACGAGTGGAAAAAGAAGCTAAGCAACCGAGAGCTTTATGGGGCGGCCCATATGCAAGTGCTATAGCACCAATTCCACGGTTTTGACGTGGTATAGGAGCTCCCAAGAGGCCCAAATACCACCAACGACTGATATCGAGGTCGAAACATGTAAATACATCATAACCACAGACAACTCCACTCTCCTCGCGAAACAAATATTGTCTGCAGAGGCAACCTGACATGAGATATACGAACGAGAAAAAACACCACCAAACATAACTAAAGCACAAGCCAACAAGGATAAAATCCAAACAAAACAACCGATCACAATAATCTACCAGGTACAAAAGAGTTAATCATGTGTGTGAAGAATGGCGCTCCGAAGCGCGCGTTAGCCTCTAGTTTTACATGATACCACAATTTCCTGATGAAGAAAGTTTTTACCCCGTCACGACTACCCTTTTCTATAAAGTATTTTCCTACCAAACAATAAAACTATGTTCTCACTTCCTCGTCAATACCCCCTCCCGCGCTAAAGTGGGATTGGGCGTGGTGCAGCAAGAAGCAACTCTGCATGGGTCAGTTGAGGACTTACTTGGTAGGCTACATCGAGCCCAACCAGGCCCACACGGTGCAAAAATTGGGCATTTGGTAGGCTCAGTTGCATGTGTGCTCGGCCCTGACAGAACTTAAAGCAACTCTGTGCTAGGCTGAGTGAGGAATGGCCGATTCGACAGTTTTTGCGAACCAAGATCGCTTGAGCCACACGTAGCTCTTGCTTGCATGCATTGGGAAGCGTAGGAGACAATGGGACGTCTCAAAACCCCTCCTCTCTCTTCTGTCACCACTCACTCCCATTCACACCACACTGCATCACTCTCTCTAACACCGCCCCTTCGTGTTCAACCACGACATCCCACTCCCATGCTAGCCGGCAGCAACCCCATCCAACACTGTGGGTGGCCAACATGGCCTGACAAGGCATTGACCTCTTGTCAGCTATCCCGGCCCCCTCCCCCATCTATGCCAGATCGCATTCAGCGGCCACTGACCCACCATCAGCAGTGTGGGGAAGCACGTCGGTTGCAACGGCGATGGCTACAGGAAGCCCATTGCCAGTGCGGCGGGCAAGGCATGGGTGTTGTTGTTGTGCCTTACAGACGGATGTTGCAGACTGTTCGCATCGCTTGGACCGGCATGAATGCAGCACCCAAAGCGGAGGCAGGGTTGGAGAGGACACATGGGAGAGGGTTTTGGGTGGGACCCCATTGTCGAACGCGTACATGGCATGAGTCTGGACGCCCGCGAACCTCCCCCGGGTTTAGTGCGGGTTTGCGGGAATTTAGACGTGTGGGCGCTCCCGCGAAGCATATGCAACACATGTTTGAATGGTAAAAAAAAATCCGGACATGGCGGTTAAAAAACTTGTGGGCGATTTGAGGCACACCGTTGGAGATGCCCTTGGTAACTTACAAGATGCAACATACCGATGATATCTGCAATGTCATTTCTTCTCCTTGCCAGCCCGTTCAATCAACTACGATGCATTTTTGAGAAAACGCGGTTCAAGAAAAGGATACCAACCAAACCGGGTGACGAGAGGCACTTCCGCCGCCATCGCCTAGCCCTCCTCCCCACCCCTCCTTCTTTCCGTCTCCAGAGCGAAGCCCCATGCGGTGGACCACGGCGGCGGGCCACTTCGCACGTCCCCATCCTTTAGCACAACTCTTCCGTGTGGATCTCATTCCCACATAGCGTCGCTCGTGCGCCTCTTGACCCGGTCGGGCTCTGTGCTTTTTCTGGCTGCAGGTTGGGTGGCTCAGGATCCCTCTCCTACTGTTGGGTTGCGGCGGCCGTCACAAGTGTGGCTGCTGCTGTCGATGGCTACTGGGACCCGCCGGTTGTTGGGTCATCTCGTCCAGTGGCGAATCTTGGATGAAAATGAAGGGCAGGCTCAACTTCTCAGTACAAGGGTTGGAACTGGTAAACAACAGGCTAGACACTAGACAGTGGGCTGAGATGGGCTAGGAACTAGTAGTAAATTTTTGTTTTTCAGTTTTAGAGGGCAGGCTTGAGCCTGTTGAAGCATGCCCACTAGAATCGTCACTGATCTCGTCCCCGGGCTTCGAGCATCATAGCCACTGGGGCTGTGTTGCCCCTACCCTTGGTCATTGTTGGAAGTTCCCTTATCGCTGGGAGCCACCATTGGGGTGGATCCTCCTTGATCTGTGGTGACTACGACGGCCTGTAGTGACATACTCGTTGCAGATTGTATTAGCCACCGAAAGGTCTTCGTGAGGGCTCATTTCGCTACATTCGGTGGTTGACTTCAATCGGAAAGTGCAAACTATGGACGACGGCTTGACATGGAGGAAAGAATGTAGTGTAACGACGGCGGTCGCACATCGCATGTAACGGTTGTGTCACGGAAAAGTGGTGGTGAAAAGACATAAGTGACACTGATGGTGGTGGTGCTCGAGCACCCAGTCTCGAGCTCTGGGATGAAACCCTATGTCTGACCCGAATTGATTATACTTGACAATGGCAATGTTTTTACGTCGTTACCTTGTTGAAGGTGCTGCTCGGATATGGTTGGACTGGTTCTTTAGGTGAAAACCTAGATTCTGGCCTTGGATGGTTGGATCCAGTGATGGCGGCGCTTGACCGTCGCTCCCTTCTTGAAGGCATTACTGTTGAAGAACCTTATCATCTATGTGGTGTTATGAGATGGTTGGTGTAGCTATGATCATTAGTATAGTTTGTCGATCGCAAATCTGTTCGCTTTTGGGTTTATTCCCTTGCCTTCACATAGTTTTGGTCTTCTATGAATTTGATATTTGTTGGCTTGTATTTTGTGGACGTGTGTTGATGTTGATCGTTACATATGCAGAGGTCGGATGCCACCTCATTATGTTTGTATTCTCTTAATACCTTATTTTGGGCCAACAAAATCCACCCTTGTAAAAAAAGTATATCGCATCAGGATCCAGGAGTCATTCTTTGATGCACATGTTTACCCCGGCCGGCGTACAATTGTCATGACTGGCCAAAATTCGTAAGGAAAATGGACTAACGTGGGCAATTTCGTGTGGGCATGCCAAATTTTGGGGCATGGTCCGTTTTGGTCACCAAACAAAAACCAGTTCAAAACTCCCATTATGTCATGAAAATGTAGCCCTTCTACATAGCAGATATCGCAAGCATTTACCAGTTCAAGCATTTTTTTTACTGGAGTAGCATGCACAGTCGTCACCTTATCAATTGGTTATTTAACCTGGCATGACCATATTAGATCATTGAGAGCATCTACAACCTGGCCCCCATGCCCGCCCCAAATGCCCGAGCGGGCTGTCCAGTCAGTGTCCGGATGAAAAAATATCACCCAACTGGTCTTCCCATATCTGGCCCGAACGCTCGGACAGACAGGCACTCCCCATATCTGGATCAAATCTGGGGCAGATATGGGGGCCCCAGACATGCCCGCCACGTACGACTAATCGCTGGAGCCCATGCCAATTCGGTCATATCCGCCTCCCCTCTCCTTGTCCGGGTAGCACTCTCCTCTTCTTTGTTCGCCCTCCTCCACACTGTCAGCACCAGACTTCCGCCAGCATCGGCGCTCCGCCACCATCCCCAACTCAGGGCTTCGCCACTAGATGCCCCTACTCACACTGTTGCCGACCAGGCCGCCACCGGACGGCGTCCCGGTACGTCAAACTCCCACATATTTGCACCCCACGCTCTATGTGTTCGATGAAATTCCAAGCCGGTTTTTAATTCTTTCGTTCATTACTTCTAGGTCACCAATAGATTCGGCATGGAATGATGACCATGGAAATGATGATCGAATTCATATTCAACGAGTTCATCGCGTTGTCGGATTTGGACGATGAGGATGTCAAAATGATGATGATGATGATGACGATGATGATGATGATGATGATGAGCATCCAAGAGGAGTTTGAGAAGGTAGAGGAGCATGTCCTAAACTCCAAGTATTCCATCAAGGGCCATAGAGTGATTCTGCGTGATAGGATTGCTGGTGCAGGGCTTCTGTTCACGGACTACTTCATAGTTGTCCCAACATTCCATGAAACTTTCTTTCGTCATCGCTACTGGATAGGCAAAAACTTGTTCTTGCGGGTAGTGGAAGGCGTGGAGAAGGCTAATGACAACTTCAAGCTGGAGAAGCATTGTTGCGGAAAACTATCTTTCTCTTCTGCAGAAATGCACTACTGCTCTTAGGATGCTTGCTTATGGTAAAGCAGCAGATGCAACTGATGCACAAATCTGGATGGGGGAGACCACTATCTTGAACATCACTATGCAATTTGCACGCATTGTGGTGAAGGTGTTTGAACCAGAGTACCTGAGAGAGCCAACTGTGGAGGATAAAGAGAAGTTGTTGGCACTTGGAGCAGCAAGAGGATTCCCTGGTATGTTAGGTTCAGTTAATTGCATGCATTAGCAGTGGAAGAACTACCCAAAAGGTTTGAGTGTGCAATACCAAGGTCACGTCCAAGAAGTCGCCATCATACTTGAAACAGTGGCATCACAGGACTTGTGGATTTTGCATGCTTTCTTGGTACGCCAGGTTTGTTCGATGGCATCAATATGCTCCAATGGTCTCTTTTGTTCAAGAGACTCTGTGATGGAAAAGCTCCACCGTGCAACTATATCGTCAACAGACACAACTACGCCATGGGGTACTACCTTGCCGATGGTATCTATGCTCAGTGGGCGGCGTTTGTGAAGACCATATCTGAACCCCAATGCAACAAACAAATCCGCTTTGCAGCAATGCAAGAGGCATATAGGAATTATGTGGAGAGGGCATTTGGAGTGCTCCAATCTCGTTGGGGCATTGTTCGTGGTGTTGCGATGATGTGAGAATCAAAGACACTTTGGTAGCTCATGACATGTGTTATCTTGCGCAACATAATTGTCGAGAATGGAGGTGAAGGGGCAGAGCGCATGCTCGAGAACCCGGTGTTCAGGTCCTCTTCCTGCAATAAGAGG